GGTTTCATTGGCTTTTTTTATTGAGGTTTGTAAAATATTATAGTTTGTTTTGGTTGGTCTATTTTTTAAGTCTTCAACTTGTTGGAGAGCATTAGTGTCGGCTGGATTAATTTCAGTTTTTTGGAAAAGTTCTTTAATCTTTTCGATTTCATTCAACTTGTTTTCATCAAGTTTGCCATTAGTGAATAAACCTGGTAAAACTTGGTCTAATTTAGATCGGTCATTGGAATCAAGTCCTTGACTTTTACCACTTTGGTCTTTACTATCTCTAGAACCAGAGGCAGTATTGTTTAATCTATTAGTTGGTAAACCTCGAAGTTGTTTCCGAGTTTGATCAATAAGGAACTTTTGGATGTTGTTAAAAAGACGTTCTCGAACATCTCATTCATTTCCTTTGGGACTTGCAGAAGTTTCATGAATTCCCCAAACGCAGGCCAAACATCAAATAAAACTTTCTTCAATAGTTTCTGAACTTCGATTTAACAAATTAAAATCTGTTTCATTTTGCCATACTAATCCTCTATTTTTTAAATGTTTATTAAAAACATTCTTAATTTCACTTTCTATGTCCTTATCATCACTTCCAAAAATGGAAAAAACAAAAATACCACCCGAAGAACCTTCAACTTTTTGGATGATAACTCAATTTTTATCTGTTAACTGATAAACTAGTAATTGCATTGGAGCAGAATCATTTCTTTCACCACTAAAATCATCTAAACTTTCAATAACTTGAATTTGAATTGGGTTTTTTGTTTTTATTTCTTGAATACGAGAATTTTCTTCAACAAACTTTTTAACTGTTCCCTGACCAAGAACTTTATCTAAGTCTCTTTTGGCCACTTGTTGTTCAATATTTTGCAATCAAGCAATAGTTTGATCTTTGGTGCTAATTATATTAGTTTGTAAATCAAAACCCTCTTTTTGTCTTCTTTGGATTGATTCTTTTCTTAATTGAGCTAGGGTGCCTTGCTGGGAAAGGTTGTATCTACCTACTGTTCTATTATGAATGTCTTGTATGGAACTATCTAAAAGGTCAGGCAAATAATCCATATCTTGATAAACTGTTCTTTCCGACAGTGTTCCTAATCTAAAATCACTTAAGTGTTTTCAATTTTGTAATGCTTTAAGTGAGATATTTTTATCAATAGGATTGCTATCAAAGAACACCCAAGTCAAATTAGGAAAATTATTCCCAAGAAATTCAAAATCAGGATCTTCTATTTTGTTTTCACTAAAAAATAAAGAAGATATTTTTTCTTTATTTTTGATAGAGTTTAAGAAATGAATATCAGTTAATTGATTTCCTGTTATAGTAATGTTTACTAAATTAACAAAATCAGATAAATCAGTATCACTTTGTAATAATTGTTTATCTTTTATTACTAATGTAGTCATTTTTGCTCGTTGATTTTTATCAGGAATAAAATCATTTAAATATTTTTGTAAGGTTAATGCGGGTGTGATATTGTTTTTAGGCATATTTTTATTATATTTATTGTACTTATTTTTATTAATTAGGAGTTTAAATTATGTTTAAAAGTTATTTACAATCACTCAGGAACTTAATCCCATTAATAGCCAATTAGGAGTGATTGATTTAAAGGGTTAACTAATTGGTTATTTGGCATCGGTTTGGGCATAGGCATGTATTACAATTTATGATTATACTTTTATATAAGACTATAATTCCTTTTATTATACTAATAGGAATTTCAATGTCTATATATGTTATCTATTTTAGCAATTTAGCAATTCATCCCTCACTTAAAGAAGATGAGGGGGAATCTCTTTGCTGGGGTTAGATAAATAAGGATGATGTTTTTTCTCTTCTACCTAATCTAAGTTGTGCTTGGTACTTAAAAAGTTGTGACAAATAATCCATTGAGACACAATTGAGGGAGGTATGAAGGGTGAGGATTTTCATAACTAAGTCTTGCCTAAAATTAAAACTATCGTCCATTAAAGAACTATTAGCCAGCAAAGGTATTAAAGTCATTTTCTTACCTTCTTACACTCCTGAATTGAATCCGATTGAGAAAATCAATCATATCATTAAAGACCATGTAAGAAAAGAAAAAGTAAAGAATAAAGAAAAGTTGAGGTCAGTTATTAAGGAAAAAGTCAAGTTCTTTCAGAAAGAAGATTTAAATACCTATTTGGATAACTCAGTAAACGAGTGTTTGATGAAACTTAATTCTACTGCTCAATTTGAGGGCAATACTCTTATTTGGAAACTTATCAAGATGACAACTACTGAACATTCCAATCAAGTTAATTGTTAAAAGAAAGATTGTCAAAGGTGAAACTCTTAGGGAATGCAAACACTAAAAATTTATCAAGAGCATTTGTATTATAAAGAATGCGGTTCTCGTAAAATATTAGCTATATAGTTCGTTGTAAAAAAAAATATGGCATTAGATATAAAAAAGAACCAAATAATTTCTCAGTTGAAGAAAAAAAAAAAGTCCTATGGGATATTTTTGTTAAATTAGAGAAAGCTTCTTTAGGGTGTGGAGAATTAGATTTACCATTTTTTGGCGAAATTTTATTAAAAAAGTGTGAAGAGATAACCCCTATTTTAGCCCCTAATAATATAATTTTGAAAGAGTTAAAAGAACGAGCAGAAAAAATAAAAAAATGTGAACCTGACCCAGACTACAATATTTATCTAGCCAAGCACATCTGCAAAAAATTAATTCAAGAGGCAAATTAAAGTGGGAGAAAAAATGAATGGAGAAAAGTTATTTTTAAAAATTAATCAATATTGAGTCAAGTGTTTATTGTGTCAAGCCGAAAACTATCTGATAACTCCTTACCATAAATGTTATGGATGTAATAATGTAGATATTAAGGATTTTGCCTACCAACCCAATCAATTCGAAACTGAACAAGGAAAAGAAATAAAGAAAATAATTAAACACTTGATTCCTATTATTACCTAATTCACAATCCTTGTCCGCTTTTTAAAATCCGCTTTACCTCCAATATTTTTTTAGTTCTTGATACTCAAGGGAAGATTTAATAATTTCTTCCATCTCTATAACTAGTTTTTTATGTAATTCTCCGTGTTCCTCTTCCTTCGGATAAAAATCAGTTAGTATCGTATGAATTATCTCATGAGCGAGAACATAGATTAAAGCATTAAAGTCAAATAATTTCTTAAATTGAACTTTTTCTTCGT